CTTGGTTTAGCCAGCGCGGGAGATTTGGGTAAACTGTGGTGTAAAGTGCGTCACCCAGCGTTCCAAGCGTCGCTGAAGACTGCATACTGAGGTGTCGTCTACTTCGCAAATTGTTCCACTAGCGCACCGTCTTCTGGAGCCAGTAAGACGGATGNGAAGCGCTCACCAGGTTTCTCGGTCACTTCTTAAGCTTTTTGTGATTTCGCGCTTTGTTGGGATTGTCCAACGCGGGTGCGCGAGTCGGAGAGAGTTGAAGGAGACCGATTATCTCACAACTCGGCGGGTTAGATCACACACGTATAAACCAAATGAGTACATAGCGTTTTGAATGGCTGTTCAGTGTTGGTCTACACACTTTGGTGGATTATTAGTTAGCCTTGCGGCCAACACGTTTTGTTATTCGACTAGCACGACGGATCAGAAAGCTTGGCAACGTCAAGCTGTTTTCATCTGTTTTTTGCAACCACCGAATCGTATAGAAAACCTGGCACAAATCAGCGCGTGATTCGAACACAAGTAGGTAGACTAATAGGAACAACACTCTTTTACAGACCCACTCCATTTATAGCTAATTGCTATGCGGGTGACCTGAGTCCACTTCTGTTCCGAAGCGGGGTTGCGCCAAGTGGCTAGATGACGCTTTGGGTGTCTGAAGCTCGTGCTAATGAGGAACAGACAGTTCTAAATATACGCTAATAAGTCTATTACTATTATCTGAACGACAGTGGTTAAGACCACGGTGACCACCAAGATGAGCTTCATCGGACAACGGCCGGTCATGATCACATTATCCGTCCTAGATGCTTTGCGAAGATCATGCGAGTTGTGATAGAAGGCACCTTTGACTGTATCCGGGCTACAGTCTGTGGGAGCATATGCAGAAACCACGAATAAGCACCGTTCGTTTAATTTCTGCTTACTGACTTTACACGAGCTTCGGAGTCTCACTGCATATAATCGGCTAACTGCCAGGATTCAATGCCAAAGAGAAACCCCCGCCGTGGCGCACAAGGCAATACCAACGTCTGCGTGGCCAGACGCTGATGTGACAGGGTCCCCGGAAAGGGCAGATGAAAAGCGTTTCGGATCAGAATGAGACGTTAATCGAATTACTGAGCTTGGATTGAGAGCGTTTCTGAAGGACAACACAAATACACCTCCAGACTTCCGAGCGTATGATCCAAACCTGCTCTTATACGCACCATGATTTTCACATTGAACAAAGCCCCTGTGAACGCAGAATGAGGTAGGATGAATGGAACAGTATGCTCTGAGCGACATGACACTGATGAGACAGTTCAGTTCGTACAACCATTAACCATGCATCTTCGTGTGGCGGTTTTGGTTGCTGTCTTTTAACTGCCCATTTGGATGAAGAATAGGAGAAAACAGGAAAGCTAAAAGTAGAGTCGAACAGAAAATGTAGAATTTCAGTGGTTGTAAAGAAATGGAAATGCACGAACGCAACTGTTAACGACACCCAGCAATATCACTGTCTCTAACTATAGGTTACGACCATCCCGAGGTCCCCAGTCAGGGAGCCTAACGGGACTCATGTGACCCACTCTCCTGGTTAGGGTTTTCATACCATCATGCCAGGTCTTAGCTTGGCCACCCTTGGCTTTTTTCAACCGCTACCTGCTTCGGCGAACATCGCTCGCCTTGGCAACCTATTTGGTGACATGCGTAACACATGTCCCAACCAGCGTAATCTATGGAGGTCTACCACCTGTTCCAGTGGGCGACAGCGGTTACCCAAAACTCTG